TTACCTATAGGTTCACTATTTTAGCATTGTATTCATTCGTAAACATTTTTTCGTTTGACAAGTCTGATGAGTTTTGTACATTGTGTTTGAGCTTCACCTTGTATAATCTTTCATTGACGAATAAATTTATCTTATCTGATATTATCCATTGATGAAAATTGGTTATGGAAATAACAAGTCCGTGTGTTATACTTCAAAACTGTATATTGTTCTCTTCAAATCAAGACCACTCGGATAGCACGCCGATGTAGGAATTATCAAATAGAAAACGTCCTAGGAGAACTAAGTACATGAGTATATGCTTAGTAAGCAGGCTCTCCTAATCTATACCATACACATTGCTTTCATTTATATATTTCAAATGAACAAATTTAATGTGGCCCTCGTGCGCTGCACTGTCGACATTTCTAGATATTCAACGATGATAAATACATTGGTTTATATTTCATTTTTGTCTACGTACACAGTGGACTGTGTATATCCAACATCCATCTATACAAGGTGTTTCAGATTCAAATGTACAAATGATACCTGTAGATAGCGGACACTTCGGTGGTTCCAATTCACCACACATTGATATGTCTACCGTCTTTTATAACTGAGATACAGGACGTTATCTTGATTTTGGCAAAATCTTCATCTTCATAACTTTTGATCCACTCTGTATAATTTATCCATACTTGATAGAAATATTCTACTTATATTACCCATCAAAACCATATAAAAATCCGGATCAGAATCCAGGTCCGTCTTGAGGAAAAACAGAACGAGTGCGCATCTAATTTGACAGATGGTTTATTATCAAGTTTTGGAATATTTAGCTTCATTTCGGGGCATTCTTATTGAACTTATAATTCAAAATTCAATTTCAATACAAAAATATAACAGTCTTCAAAGTTCAACATCATTAGAGTTAAATTAGGTGAACTATCGATAGATTTGTTGTGACAGAATCACTTGTCTATGGTATCATACATTTTTGAGGGCTCATTTTATTCTCCACTATTGATTCACGAGCTGCGGTTAAGTAGGCTGTGCAAAAAAATCTGATATTCTGACAGGTCATAATCACTAGTGTGATATTATTGGTAATGTTGAGATGATTATTTCTGGTGCTTGTATTGGGTTGTTACATTTCAAATTGTTCATAATTGTGCCTACAATAACTTTACCAATAATATCGCAACTATAGTGATTATGAACTGTCAGAATTTCCATTTTTTCTTCACAGCCTACTTCACCGCAGCTTATGAATAAATAGTAAAGTATGAAATGAGACCTCATAAGTTTTTGGAATCATCGACAAATTATTCTGTCAAACAAACAAATTCATCGATAGTTCACCTAATTTGACTCTAATGATGTTGAACTTTGGAGACTGTTATTTTTCTGTATAAAAATTGGGTTTTGAATTATGAGTTCAATAAAAATGCTTCGAAATGGAGCTGAATATTTCAAAACATGATGATAAACCATTTTTCAAATTGGATGCGCACTCGTGAAGTAGGTCACTTCATTCATTTTTTTCCGCTCTTTCCAAATATCAAAACCCATCAATAAAATTTTGCCATACAGAGTGTTGTTTTTGAGATAAAAGAAGTTTTCCGTTTTTCCTCAAGACGGACCTGGATTTTGATCCAGATTTTCATTTGGTTTCGATGAGTAATGTATGTGAAATATTTCCACTAAGTATGGATGGATTATACAAAGTGGTTCAGAAGTTTTGACCAGATGAAGATTTTGCTAATATCAAGATAACGTCCTGTATCTCAGTTATCAAAGACGGTAGACATATCGATGGGGGGTGATTTGTAACCACCGAAGTGTCCCCTATCTTCAGGTATCGTATGTACATTCGAGTCTGAAACACCCTGTATATAGACGGCCGGAAAACTGCTGCCAGTCAGTCAAGCAGCGAGTGTCAGAGAGACATTCATATACCGCGTGATATGAGTCGTTTCACATAAATATCAGTTTTTGAGTTTGATACAAATTAGTGATTCTATAGTTGGAATAAATGAGTTCAAAACTGATAGTGTCGAGTTCGCTTCGGCACCCGAATGACGTTACAATACTTTTGACAATTTCCATATTTCAGGGAAATGAGGCTTTTTCATGATAGCGCCGAAAGGCTATTCATATGAAGAGGAATATATTCCATCACAGAAACATATTCCAGTAGCTGAATAATTGGAAAAAGAGGGCCGAAATCAGAATTTTTTCTTCAAATTACGCTTTTCAGATTGCTACAAACTTTTATCGCTGTCTCTCCAAACACTAGCTGGAAATTTGGATTCAGATCAATTCGTGAAAACCACACGATATTCTCAGGACTCCAAGCAATTTAGAGTTGTGGCAGGAAGAGGTGTTTTTTTATATAGTATAGAAGCTTCAGTAGATGGATTGGAAAATGAGGAGTTACCATCCGAAAATGATATCTACGATGAGTTGTGTTGCGTTAAAACACCTAAGTGGTGATTATAATTCTGTTTTGATATTTTTTTCATTTATTTTGAACGTATGATTCGCGATCAGAGACACTAAACGGCGCACGCCTCAGTTATGTGTCCAATCGGAGGATTTTTCCGAACCGAAGTACCCGAGGACAAAGGAGAAACACGAGTACGCTAGGTACTCTGCAATAACTTTTCAATGGCGCAAACGCGAGATTTTTCTACCTACAAAAGTGTCGGTATCAATCGCGCAACTTTTTTGTGCTATATTTCTGTGTTATAAAGGATTGATGAGGTGCTAGACCTTATAATCGATTACGAAGATCATCAGAAAGGGCCCTTTCACCGGCAGTCAAGAACACCAGTCTATGGCGTCCACTGGAGGTTAGTCCGTTCAGTGCCCTCGCTTTATTTCAGAGTAATTGTCAATTTTCTACAGTCTAATTATCAAACCACTCAAGATTTATCGACGAAACATTGTCCTTCGATCCAAATTCACATTGATTAACTCAAAAATCATACGAAACGCAAAAAAAAGTAAATTCTATTCACGATCTCAAGTTCGCGCCTAATGAGCTCTCTGAATGTTCATCGCATAGTTTAGATCAGAGTCGAATAACTTATTTTTTTCGATTTCTTCGAACGCTTTGTTGAAACAGCCTGAAATCAATTCTATCAATTTTTCAGAAATCATATTTGTTTCCATAAATTAGCCATTTCGAACGTTCGTTATCAGTCGTTTGTTTCTGTAGATGAAAGCAGATGAGTGCAGGTCTCAGAGTGAATCATAAATTCATTGGATCGATTCGATCACGTGCTATTCGCATCTTTTGGTTCATTTTGAACAGTATATTCAATATAGGTAAGCATCTATTTTCGCACCTGTTGATAGCGCCGAGGCCAAGGTCGTTCGCTCACCGCTCGACATCTCTCGGTAAAATTAGTGTAATTAGTGCTCTCGCCGATCAAGCAAAAACCGATGAATCTGTTAGAACTCTGTTCAGAGTGAGATATACGGACCTCGTGGGTGTTAATGTGGATGTTTCTCAAAACCATAACAATATTGTCGCTACTATTCTGATGAACCCGCAGGCCGACGTAGAAGACGAAAATGTACTACGCGAGGGTTTTGTGAAGGAAAATTACGCGATCAAGCCGTGTACGCGGAATTATTCGATTTACTTCACAGGGTCATTCTGTTTTGCATTCTACCGCGAATCCTACTGCTACAAGTCATAATCACATTCGCTTGGCATAAATTCAATTACCAAAATTTGATGCTGATTAGAAGTCATTTGTAACCTACATATATTTGTTGATTGCATTACACTTCACTATTCTGCCCACGCACAAGTTTAACATTTGTGGGCCACCTTTCATTTATTTACCATTTGTTGTATTATATATATTGTGAACTTGATTTGAAATTTTTGGCAGATGAATATCATTATCATTATTATTTTCATTATCATTATACCAATAATTCACTTAGTGAGGTCAAAAAACTCAATTATCTGATTACGTCATTGCAGGGCCAACCCCTAACTTTAATTTGTGATATTACGCCCTCGAATCCACCTCAGTCTTGTATTCAACTCGTGAACATATTTTTGAGATATTTCATTAGGTATCACTATAAACAATCCACAATGAAAACAATACACTATTTGATTTTTGTAAATATGTGAGACTAACCCAAACATGCAAAGCATAACATAACCTTCAAATGAAACTAACATGAGGTTCTTCCCATCAACTAGGTGCCAACTACTACAGAACAGAACGTTTTCACTGTTATGAATATGTTGGTGATTTCAGAAATAATCTAGTATCGTTACGAGACATAAGTGAAACATGCGATTTTGTTTCTTTTACCATACATGTATAATTCAACTGAACAATCTTTTTTAATGGCATTTGAAGCATCATATATGTATATGATATGTTTCATGTTATGTAACCACCTGAACAAGAAAATATATAACATGAAATTTGATAGCTTTGTAGCAAATATGTTTCACGGTGATGTTTCTCCGGAACCCTGATGACCTCCATTTGCCATATGGCAGACATATGTGTGTTTGCTGGGTTAGGTAGGCATCAACACTTATTCAAACAGTACAACCCAAAACAACAACACAACACAGAAAAAATGAAATATCTGAATATTTCACATGATCATTCCACAGCTGAAAATGCGATAAGCATCTAAACAGGTAATTCAGGAAGATGGCAGACCCTACGCCGTTCAGATGCGCGAACCCACGCCCCATTTTTGGAGATGCAAGAAGCGGCGCAGATGCATTGATACGAGTAGTTGATATTGGAACTGCTGAATATCAAGCAATTCTAATGATTTTTTTCACGAGGGGAATCGTCCTGGAATTGTTCATATTCTTAACATCCTGTAAATATTCCATGATTTTCTATCGTATCGATATAATAGGGACAATAATTATCCAACAATCAAGTATCAAGAATTCATATGAGAATCGTGTGAACGAATACTCATGATAATAGGTGAGGTTCTACCACAATCTGACTCACTTTATGGCTACTATTCACATCATGGACATATGTACTGACCTCGAAGCTTATGAGACCACTTTGCTCTTGATCTAATGTGTTGAATACATAATGGGCATATTGGCTGCTGTTAACTGAAACATAAAAGAAAAGATTATCAGAATTCAAACAATGAATGAGGTTGGGTATTCGATTCGCCTCTAGTTCAATGAAGGAATCCAAAAAGTTTTGATACGCACTGCAAAATATTCCTCTGTATCGAGGAAACAGAATATTCTTCAAGAATTCCTTATATATTCAGTGAAGATAGTATGAGTTCTTCAAATTATCTGGGTTATACATTGGTAACTTGTTGAATAATCATTACGAATAGTGTCAGTTCAACAGTTGGAATGATCCCACCGCGGTGCAGAGGATTATTTTGTTAGACTGACACGATTTATGATTATTGTGCAGGAAGTTCGAGATGGTAAGACTTGAAGAAAATGGCACACAACAGATGCCTGCAGACGGAAGTGGATCTGAAACAGGAAGACACATTGACATTTCCACTACGGAACGATGTTTTGTGAGTCCAAAAAGATTTTTCGGGCAGGTACCAGCAGAAGTTGATGATCATGATAATCTACGTATCATCGATCGAGCTTCAACAAGTTTAGTGAAATCGAGAGTGGATCGCATCGGATATTTGTTAGAATTGTTAGTGCGACAAGGTACACAGCCAGAAAGTAGACGTCCTCATGTCCAAAGTGACTGTCCCTCTTGCTTCAACTCGGAGAATGGAAACTCATCAGCATTGAAGTGGTGATATAAAATTGGCAACACTGGTACATTGTGATAAAACCGATGGTACTGTGGTTCCGTGTCGGACCTAACTTCACAATCCTTTCAAGACTTGCAAAGGCCTAATGGCCGAATAGGACAATTTCCTTAGATAAGCTAGGTATTTCAATAATTCCTATTGGTAACATTTATTAGCTGGACAAGATTCCAACTGTACTTGCGCAATGAATTGCTTTCAATTAGAAGCAGTTTTTATAAACGGTTTTGTTTCCTAAGTGCACAGAAAGCTCTTGAAAATCTTTGATTTCCTTCTTCTCTACCGAAAGTAGGCAAGATGGGCAGCTTGTTTGCCATCCTCCCGCCAACTTTTGTGGAGTTCAAAACCTATATTTTTGGTCGTTCCAGATGGAAGGTGAGCATTTTCGAGGTCTACAAACCCATTCAATATATTCAAACTGTTATAATTCTCCCAGATTCAGTGGCCTGTCCATGGCGAATGTCCTGTTAGGACGCCATAGTGGAAAATTGAATCTCCATTTTTGAAGCACCTCTGGATCCCATCCTGAGCTACCACGGAGCCAAGGGGTGACTAGATAGTCTCAACATCACGTGCGCTATGAAGCCACTACCCATTTCGAGGTTTTTCTCTTGATTCCACCCCGTTGGAATTCCAAAATGATTCCAGGATGACTAGGCACTCTGGGCAACTCCAGGACACATCTTACTTTCAACTGTATCAACCAGGATTTGGAAGTTGGAGTTCACTGGCAGTAAAGTACAGATCAGCACCACATGCTCTGCAGACACATAAAGTCAGATCCATTTTGATTACCCTTTTGTTCCTGATGATGCAGTAGTGCACAACACCAAGTTACCATTCAAGGCCTACTACTCGTAACTACATTGTTACGAACTTCACCAATGTTCATTTATTTTTCATAAATAAAAATTAAAAAAGCAAGTCTCACCATTGGCTCCGGCAACTCTTGCGTCTGGCGAGCAGTTGGCTAGTGTTCTGATTTTGTTGGGTGGCTAGTTGAGCGCCACTTAGTTTTTTTATGAGTGCAAAACTTAGAAAATGTTATGAATGTTGAATTTCACTCTGACATGGAATAAGAAAAAAATAAATACACTTGTGGTCCCAGGTGTAATTTAATCAATTGAAATTGAAATCCAGTAAAATACACCAAAAGTTCTTAACATCTAAGTAGAATGATTGAATCTGCACTCATAGGAGAGGCATCACCAATTCAGCAGCAAAAACATATATAAAACCCCATCAAAATATCAAACTTTCCATTACAGGCCTGTAGTGAAGCTCACAGAAATTTTATCATGATACTCATAGGGACCTCAAAAATAGTTACTGAAAAAATTTGAGTATATCACACATTATAACCATAACTTGAAGATGAAGATGTTGGTCAAAGGCTGATTTTATATTTTATCAAAAAAACTTGGAGTAGGTGGCACTGAATCATCATCTTTAACAAACAAATTGGAGAGGTCTTACTCTATTTTCATGTAGGTGGTTGGTAGTGTAGTATGGTCATTCAGCTGGCAGTGGAGTGGCCCCCTTAGAGTGGCCTTCTTAGAGTGGCCCCCTTAGAGAGGTCCTAGCACACTTGCCCAGCCATGTGCTTCCGTGACATTCTCACCAACAGCCGACCATGAAAACTTTCCTTGGAATTAAGGACTCTCTAACAAAAGCCGGTACCCTGAGCTGAGGCCTGCCTGAGGGCTCCCAGGAAGGTTGAAATCTTGGGAATTAGTATCCCAGCCAGATGGTTGCAATTGACGGTGGGAGAGGACTACCCAATCTCCATGTACGAATGCCTGTGGTCTTGAGGATGTTAGCGGTGATAAACCTAACGGGTGGTGTTCAGGCCTAGGACTACCCAAAATGGCCGGTATGGATAGTGGCCTCGCCTTCAAAAATCCCACGTGGAAGGCCCTCAAATCTCCTTTCAGGATGGCCTTATCACCAGAAAAACCAAAATTCTAAATGATCCATTTTCCGGGACCGAAAAGTGACCATCGTGCTCCTCACGATCGTCGGTTCGAAGAAGAAGAACCCGGAAGGCAGATTTTCTGCGCCAACCTGATTCTCATACCATAGAAAAAAAAATGTTCAACGCCAACTTTTACAAAACAGTGTTTCTGCTCATCAAAAAAAGAACATCACGAGCTGTTGAGTTCAATCACGTGCTGTTGAATCGGTACCTGATTGGTCAGTCTACCTCCATTTCCACTACATCAGAGAAATGTCATTTCCGCCTATTCAAAATTAGTGCAGGAGATAATTATCAATTATTAATGACAGCCAATAGTAATCATACAGCTGGAAACTACCTAGACTCTCCGACTGGTGGATAACTACCTAGACTCTTCGACTGGTGGATAACTACCTGGACTCTCCGACTGTTGAAGCATGGTGTCCATCCAAACAGCATAGGGTCATCTTTCTCGTACACGAACATTGACCAAGGACGCCAGATCACACACATCACCGAAAACACAACTGAAGGTAAACGGCTTGTCCGGTGAAGATAGCCTCTGAAACCAACTAAAACAAGACGACGAAGAAATGGGGTTCCTGTCCCTGATGAGTCAGATTTGCCCAAAACAAAATAACCTACAATGAATATTGAGAAAAATGACGGATTTTTCAATAAATCTACCTTCCACTCAATGAATAACGTGGTAAGCCTTTTCCAAGTAATCACTGATTGTATTTTTCAACATTTCAGGATTTTAGACGATATTAACCATAACTATTTAAATTTGTTTCAGAACAACTAGCTGTCTCCAGATATTCTGAACTGATCGACGAACTCTGATAAAAGTCCTCCTTCTAGGAGTCTTTCTTTCTGGTAAGTACTAACAACTTTCTTTATTTTTTTAAATTAATAAACCTTATTTTCTTTTAGGTAATATTGGAGTTTCCAGACATGGCCTATCCAAAACTGCAAGATGACTAGAGATGTTTCTTGAAGATGATCAAGTGATAGTAGTGGTATTGTGTATATTACTCAATGAAGGGTATTATACAGAGTGAGCAATGTGATCACATCATAGTGAAGATATTGATCAATTACTTAAATGAGGAGAAAACCAAAATTGGTAGGTTGGTATCTTCATGTTAATAAGTTCTTCATTTATTATTGAGTTATCAAAGTATATATATTATGTAAGATGAAAAAGTCAATTTTCATGTTACACTCACCCCCCTCCAAAGAATATAAAAATTGTGAACATAGTACACAATTTTCATGAGAAACACTGGGAAACCTTTCTTCTTTTTATATACCGGTATTGAATATAATGGTGCGCACCTACCTAATTATAGCAGCGAATACCTATTCTAATATATACAGGACCTAAAGATTTATGAACTTAGAACCTACCTAACAGCTGATGTATATACAATTTCATGCACTTCGAATCCACCAGTGGTGTAGTTTCTAGGCAACAATACCCAGACAGACCTACTCATCTGATACTACTGATCCTGGACCCTCACTTCCGCACGAAAAATCAGACATGGATCCGTGTCATGGTTTCAAATCCTGTGTATGCCATTCCCCTAAGTTACTACCATCCTCAGCACTCTTGAGGACATAGACTAATTTAGACTTTTTCTAACTACAATGCACTCAACCCAGCGGGGTGCCAACTTTTTAGCAAAGTCTTCTGCCTTATTAGACAGGACAAATTTTTTTTTCCATACATGGTCACCAACAAAAAATTCCATTTTGCGCCATCGTAAATTATAATACCGAGCATTTCTCTTATGCGCTGAACTGATTTTTTGTTGAACCTCTTGATAAATGTTGGACAGATTACCTAGATTCTGAATCCAATAGTCTCTATTAGTTACATCAATATCGACATCATTTTTCCTATAATATTTACCGCTACATGGTTCTTCTCGATTGAAATTTGAAAATGCAGGGCTATATCCCGTGACTCCGTGAACTGAAGTTCTTAATGCATATCCTATTTTTGGCAATTCTTCATCCCATAATTTATGATTTTTATCGATAAAACAGCGAATGGCAGTACAAATTGTTTTATTTGACCTTTCAACATAATTAGCTTGTGGATGGTAAAATGTAGTATATCTAATATTGGAATCATACCTTTCTACTAACTTCTTAAAGTCGTTACTTACGAATTGTTTACCGTTGTCACAAATAATATGCTGGGGTACCCCATATACCAGAAATACTTCATTTTCCAGAAATTTTATAACTGCAGCTGATGTAGCCTTCCTAAGTGGACAAATCAGGGGATATTTGGTTAACCAGTCACTCACCACTAATATATATTGAAACCCATTATTACTGCG